GGGGAGCCCGGGCAGCTGTGGCAGACGATGTGGGAGAAAGCATTGTGTTTCCACGTAGCTGTCACTCTGCGTTCGTGAAAAGAGGCAGACACTTTAGCTGGGATTGAGTGCGTCATCAGGGTTAATGAGCAGTGCTTCAAATTATAGGGCCTGTGGTTCCTGCACAACCGCCAATTAACTGTGCCCATGACGAGGCCAGGAGGTGACTGCAGGAGAGGGTTAACAGGAGGAGGGAGCGACACAGCTCCTCAGACCTCAGCTCCATCCACCGGTTGTCTCTGTCTCCCGCGAGCGCACAAGCCCTATAGCAGAATCTCTAAAATCAAAACCCAGGACCACAGAGGTGGTCATGCCCTGCCAGGCAGAGCGCCGAGGCCGGGCGTGGGGGCTGACTGCAGAGCTGTTGGGTTGGAGGCCGTGACTGCGTTCGTCTCCTAAGGGCCCGGTCAAGACCGGAGAGCAGAAATCACCTGGTGGGCACTGGCTTCCCACTGAGCAGGGCCAGGTGCTCTGAGACGTGCTCAGGAGCTTGGGTGTGACACCAAAGCCAGACCAGCTCCAGTCTTTGTGGCTCTCAGACCCTGCCGTTGCTTGCACTCACTGGAGGGAGAGCAAGCTACCAGGTCCGGGACTTGACCTGCAGTCAGCCATGTGGGAGTCCAGCATCTCTGACCACCACCCTACCTGCTAGCTCCTGGAGCCTCTTTCTAAAAACACACGTGAGTCAGCGCTGCCGCCTGGTGGTTGAAGGCAGCGGTCCCACATTGCCAACCTCTCAGTTCCGGTCCCAGACCCGGCGGCTTGAGAAACACCGTGTGCATGTGTGTGCCCAAACTCCTGAAAGGGAGGGGGAGGGAGGAGGGATGACGTGTCAGCAGGCCCCTTGGGCACTTCCTTTCCCTCTCTCTGGCACACACAGCACACGTGTGCGAGCCATCCGGAGTGGTGAAAAGCATGTGGCCCTCCTGCTCAGAACCCCGGGCCAGGGCCCAGGGCCACTGATGGCCAGCTCTGACCTGGGCCATTAGCCTCCATCTCTGTGGCCTCAGCTTTTGCTGCTATGAAGAGAGGACCTCACCGTCCACTCAGGGACCGTGGTGAGGGTCCACACCACACCGGCTACGTGCCGGGAAGCACAGCTACCGTGGCATGGGGGGTGGCAATAGGCCACCGAGTGGCTGAGATAAGCTCTAGAGAAACTGAGTGAAGTCCAGGACGTGGTCAGAGCCAAGAGGGACCCGATGAGGCCTGACCATTAAATGTAGTATTTCATTCCAGATGGGTCCCAGAACAGAAAAACGACGTTAGGTACTAATTAGAAAAACGTAAGTAAATATAGGCTTCGGAGGATAATAGAAAATGGAGTAGGAGAAGCCGCTCTGGACCCAGCTTTGCCTTCTCCAGCTGCGTGCGGTGGGCGGGTTCCCCAAGGGACGCCCCTTTCTTTGTCTGCAAACTGGGCTGCCAGGAGCCCTGGCCTGGTGCCCTGCTGTCAGGAGGTTGCTGGAGGGAGCCTCCCGCGAGCTCTGCGGCGCCACCCCTCGGTAGCCGCCTCACGCTGCACACAGCAGGCGCGGCCAGGACCCAGTGAGTGGGGGACAGCGCTTCACGGCGTCCTGTGTGCGCATACTTGGAAGAGGGTGAGACACTTCAGGACTGAGAGGGGCTTACGTTAAGAGGAAAAGCCACCTCATCCCTGGGGCTGGCAGCCACAGACCTGGAGAGACCTGAGCAGGAGGAGGGCTGGGCACCCGCTCCGGCCCTGCCCTGGGAGCTGCTGGCCACAGCGCGAGCCCGTGGGCGCTCTGCACCAGCTCCTGGGGTGGCTCGTCTGTTTTCTGATAAAGAGTGGAAAAGGGGAAAACAAAGCAAAAAGCAGAAGTAGCGAGATCTAATGGGAGACACAGAAAGCTTGGCGTTGAAGACTGGTGGTGCAGGAAATTCTCAGGAAATGGGGCTAAGGTTAAATGCAAGTTATGCACCTGCACCTACAGGCTGACTCGGTTCTGCAGAATAAACACGTTTCTACCCACACAGAGGAGGGCGGATGTGCGCTGCGGACACTGCTCTCTCGCATAAACAAGGGGAGGCTCGTGGGTAGTGCATATTTTACTTCTACTTCTGCTCTGAAACCCTCCACAGGACCCGCCAATGGCATGGTTAAGATGGCTGGAACGCACATGGCCAACAGCATGGATGGGGTCCCAGACCCAGTGGCCTGAAAAACACGCTCATCCCCACCGGAGGCATGAGCACGCTGCAATCCCTTCTCCGCGCCCCTCCCACAGTTCTGGCCCTGCCGTCTTAACCCTGTCTTGAAACCGTCTGTCTGTTGCGTTATGGTGGCATCGTGTGCGTCCATGCGCGCAGCGGGGTTCAGTAACTGCTGGTGCCCGCCTCCCCCCACCCCCGCCGGCGCCCTGCTAAATGATCACCTCGCGCCTCCAGGTCATCGCGGTCCCTGCCGCCCCTCCCCACACTACGTGTCTACACCGGCAGCCCCCACGGCCCGCACATGGACACCTCTCCCACCCTCCAGTGGGGCAGCTGTCCCTAGAGTCCCCCTGCAGACACGAGTCGGGCAGGTGAGTCACAGAGAGGCTGCTTTTCCGAGCTTGAGAAACGAGTGAATG